AGAAGTTTATAAAAACAAGTTCAGACATGACGTTATATTTCTGAATGTTATACCAGTAACGCAGGACTAGTGAATGAAAATGTTATGTATTCATCTGAATTCTGGTTTTAAAAATGAAACATTTTCGAACAACAGCAATATTTATATGACTGTCAACTTATTCCACATGTTCGCTAAGTGGCTTCAGCCGATCTGAATGCCAGCAGGGCCCTGTCTGTGTACGCAACTCCCGGCGATTTTCAACAGGCTTCAACTGCACGGTTTTAATTCCGAATGACGAAAATTTACTTTGACATCGGTTATATCAGCTCCCGTCTGCAGTTCCTTCCAAATACGGTCAGTGTACCACGAGTCCTTTGAAAGGTTTGTTGACGGCGAGATCAAGGGCTTGCAGCCGATCGACAACAGGCCGGAACAAACAATAACAATAGTCCTCTGATGCTTGTTGGCTAGTAGAAGTGTAACACTCGTTTTTAATGTGTGAATTAGCATTTATTATTCAATGTTCTGTTACTAGATCGCTAGATCAATCGGAACTATGTGAAATAATAAAAATAAGTCCTCGCCTCTGATGTCTTAGCGGCATATTTTCTTGTGGCGAGTGTTGACATGTATTGATATTCTAAATCTATATTCATTGAAATCGCCGATTTCTAGACATCTCGACCCAAGACACTTCGTCCCAAATTGGTCATCTCGACACAGACACCCTGGACATCTCGACCCTTCGCATCGAGGCGACCCTATTTCAATGTGGCGACGCAAGCCTCTAGTTCAAAGTTGATCGACATCTATTGATTTGAAACACCGGCTACAGAGAGCAATCTAGTGCAATGGATCAATTCAAAAAATGTTCAAGGGTTGCCTGCTGTGAAATGAACAACGAAAGTACATAAACGCCACAGTCCGCTTCATGTATATTAACATAATTTTTACAATGTAATACCTAATAGTTGTTAGTGTTATCTGTTTTAACATTTTATTTTATTCTTTATATCTGTATTTCTTGTTATTGTGTGTTTTTTGTGTATGATTATTGACCATGGTTAATGTATTTCCAATTCATTAATTTGAGTCAAAT